TGTGTCCCCTCCCCCCCATTTTGCAGTACTAAAGTAAAATGGAATAAAATCTTGAATAAAGAATTGTTTCTAAAAGGAAATAGTTAAATAACATGAAAAGATTCTAAAACGTCAAAATACAGTGTTAATACAAAAGCACTTTAATTCTGTTATTAGCATAGTATTAGTTTAGAATCAGAATTATCAAGTTGTGGGAAATTACTGTATGGGCTTAGTATCTTTTATTTTATGAAACTAATTATACTTTGGCTATATTTCTAAACTAGTTGGGGTTTTAGACAGGAGTGTAATAAAATGTAGATGATGGGAGAGGAAAAAAAAGGGGAAGCCAGCTATTTGTTAACTATATCTGATTTTTTTTTTATACTGCATATAATGAAAATCAAATTTCCACGTACAAAGCTAGAACAGGAAAGGAAACTGAAATATGTTAAGCTTTTTTAAGTCTATAAAATGTGTTAATTTTTTGAAGCTGTCCTTGTCTGTGATAGAAGAACTCATTGGATAAAATGAGGGTTCAGATTTTTTAGTTTTACCTAGACTGTCCAACAACCTCTGTCTTCTCTTGCTTTCCCTGATCTTCCAGAAGATTTAAAGTGTATAATTGATTGTTCATGACAATGTACTTAGGCCCAATTTCTGCTTATTAGTAATTTGGAACATTCTATACTGTTACTATTGAACAACCCCCACTGTTTTGTGTGCCATTTATTCCTTGTGTTTGTATCCAACAAATATTCATTTAAATTTTGGAATAGCCCTTCTCCCAAGTCAATCTTTTTACTATTAACTTTGGTATGTGCCGATTACAACTGTGTAACTTGTTCCAGCGAAAAGGAAGCATGAAATTATAGGTCCAATCCCTATACCTATGTTAAAAAAACAAAAATAAGTACCTGGTATGGGTAATGCCTCCATTAAAGTCCTCTGGTACCTCATGGTGTGGTGACTGGATTCTTGAAGGTTATGCCAACAAAACAAGCTTTCATAGGTCTTACCAAGCTTGAAGGCTGCTTGGTAAAGGCTTAAACATGGGGCCTGGCCTCATAGCAATGGGATTTTTCTTTCATAATTGTCAAAAAAACATTGTCATAATGGGGTTTGGGTTTGCTGGTTGAGGCACCAACAAAATCAAAGATCTTTGACTTAAATGCAAGAGGTAGGAAGAAGCAGAAGACAGTCCCTGTTCTACGATCTGAAATCGCTGGCTGCCAGAAGTCTGCACAAAAGGATTTTGTTGGAGATTGATGGTAGGATTCAGAGCACTACCTGAGACTTATTTCTGTGAACACAAGTAGAAGAAATGACTTAAAATTAACACAGGAGATGAGAGGCAACATCTCTTCAATGTTTCAGGTGCAGTTTTATGGGGCCCCGTAAGTTCCCTAGAAGTTGTAACTGCAATGGAATGGAATTAGAGTGATTAGACCCACAGCAGAGTTTGGAAAAACCCCATGTCATAGGGTCAACACATGTTTTTGAAGAGAAAACAAATTGTATTTGCATAAGAAACGATTTCTCTAGCTGCAAGTGTTAACTAAGAATTAAGCAGTGCTATCAGATAACTTCAAAGGTGTGGGAAGAGGGGAGGGAAAGAAAAGGGAAAAAGGAGATGGAAAAAAAATACCAACAGTTGCCTCAGGTGTTGGAATCCATTAAAGTGAATGCAAAGGTATTGCAATCAAGAAACCAGAAAGGATGCATTTTAATAAAAGACCTGATAACGTTTTTGTTGAAAAATGTAGTTTTGTACAAATTAAAGAAACTGGTAGTATATTGTTACTTGCCCCTCTTTATTCCAGTGAGGTAACTTGTCCAAGGTCACACAGCCCGAGTTAGAACTTTTCAAGGAAGTTTGCCTTCTCCAGCCTTGCCTTTTCCTTCATTAGTGCCCTTACATGCAGAAAACATTTCATTAGGATTTTTTAATTAAAGGACTTTTTTTCATCCCTTTGCTGCAATTGAAGCACCCTGAAAGCATAGGTCAATACATTAATGTCTTTGATGTGATTATAAGTATCTAAAATGTCTCATATAGGTATATGTTACTCCCTCCTGTAGGAGAAACATAATGTGTTTTCTGCCTACATTCACATAAATGTGTGTTAGGCCCAGCTTTAAACCCTGCTTCCTCTATCCAACCTATTTTATTTCACTGAAACTTTTGTGCCCATTTAAAGAAAAAAAAAACTATTTAAAGGTCTGTTAGCACTAGCCCAGGAGTTTGCCTCCAGGATCTAATCCTTGCTTCTCTTCTGTAAAATAGGGACTGTTGTCTCTAATACTTGAAGTTATTATCCACTTCATAGATTTGTTATGAGAAAACTGCCTGAGATACTTTAAAGCCCTATGTAAATGAGATTTCTCTGGGATTTTCTTGGCTAGCAGAGAAACTGCTGCAGAGAACCTTACCATATTGTCCAGTGAAGTCCCATCCCCTTTCGTACAGATTAATTAGGAAGCATCCGTAGACAGACTGCTTGGCATCACCGGCATTCTGTATCTCAAGACCTAGTCCCTGGTCTGAACCTCTGCGTGTGCGTGTGACCTTGTCCTGTCAGTCAGTTTCCTAGAATCAAAAGTGAAAGAATTTGAATAGAAAGAAAAGGAGCAACATGAAGTGAATGGCTTTCCTTCATCATTCCAAAAGGGGGTGTTTTACTGATTTCGGACAAGTAAATCACTAACAGAACGAGCCCGAAGTGTGCGACTTCATGCTGTTCCAGTAGCTGCTGACCACCTGCTGGGACTGGAACTCAGGTCTTCACTAAGTCCAGCCCTTTGGCTTCACTCGCTCTCGTGGGACTATCACTTTAAAAGGTTTCAGTGGTCTATTTTCAGTTTGAGGAGGTTATGCTTCGTACCTAGATGTTCTTCCCTTCTCAGGGATTTCTTAGCAGAAAACCTAGTTTGGGTTTTATTTTTCTTTTCGTCTTATGTTTTCGTGACACCTTGGGTGCATCCTCTGTGACTTCCTCTCCCTTTTGTGAATCTGACTACATTTTATAGTTCTGCGCCCCCCTAGTCCTTATGTCTTGTTTCCCCCTTGTAGTCGATTTGCCCGTGTTGTTGGGTGTTTATAAGGACTCTGGGCACAGAGAAAACTTCTTCCTTCGTCTCCTCCCCACCCGCGCCCCCGTGGACCCCAGACGTAGCCCTTGGGGGTGGACCACACTAGCTGGAGAGCGGGGGCGGACATCTGTTTCCTAGCAACGGAATGCCATAAGCAGAGGTCGAGACTATGTAATGAAGGAAGGTCTGTGCGTAGCTGTTCTCCAGGATATCCACCAGCAACTAGGTATTGCGGGAAACAGACAGCTTAGCCTGGACCAGGGTCCTTTTGACCGCCCCTGCCCTCAGCTCGGGGGGCATCCACGCTCTCTCCTCCCCTAGGGCGCCCGATTCCCGCAGTTCCTTCTCCCTCCTTTGCCACGTCCTTCCCTCCCTCTTCATACTCACTTGCGTAGCTATTTTCGAAAAGTGATTAGTTTTTTCCTTCCTCTCGTTCCATTAGAATGGGTCATAGGAGCATGGATGTGGAGCCAGAAAAGACCTTAGAGATTATTTATAACAATACTCCCTCACCCTACTCCATTCTAACGAGGAAAGTGAAGCCCAGGGTCACTAAGTGATTCCCTTAAGGTCACACAGCTAATTAATGGAAGGGGCAGGATTCTGACCCAGGACCTATTTCCGATATTGCACACTGCCCTCTTAAATTCCCTAAAGCTCCCATGTGAAGATGGGTTTTTTTCTTTCTTTTGTAAATCTCACATATAGTGCAATCCAAAAAAATATTTTTAAGCACATACTATATGCCAGGTACTGGGGATACAAGGAAGATGAAAAAACTGCACAAGCCCTCAGGGAGTTTCCGTTTTACTTTTCCAACTGTAAAGAGATAAGTAACCATGTAATAATTTGAGGGGAGAGCTGTAATAACTAGGGACTGGAAAAGGAGCTTTCAGAGGCTCTCCTCTCTTGTAAGAGATGACACATGAAGAGAAAGTTGAAGGAAGTTAAGGATGATGCTGGGGGGCAGAAGTGAAGGAGTGCATTCCAGGCATGGGGGACAGAAGTTTAAGCAGATTTTAAGGAAAAAAATTTTTCCCCTAAATGAATGTAAATGGACCAATAAATGCAAAATCTTGAAAAGTCAAGTCCTGTTTGCCAAGCAAACAGTATGCCATAGAGTCTCCTATCATTGTTTTTCCTTTGTTGGGGAAATTTGGTTTTGAGTATTGGGAGGAATCCCAAGGGTGGGGACCAGGTGTAAAAATGCTTATTTTTGTGGGTATATATGTGCAACACTTTGATGGTTTTGGGAGGAGGTCAGGGAGGGAGGAACAATTTTGTATCAGTAGATGTTCAGGAAAATGCCATTATTCCAAAGTGATGGGAGAAGGGACTTGGTAGTAAGAGCCTGGAAGACACAACTAAAAGGAGTGCTTGTGCTTTTTTTGATGGAACCTCAGTACAACTCGAGATAAATGAAGGTTTCCTTTGCAGCCAGTGCACATTCTGCGTCTTAAAAATGCCATTTATTTTGCATTTTTTCATACTTCTGCTACTATAAGAAAATCAAATGATGATTTAGCTCTATTACTTGCTGAAGCTAATTCAAACAGTTATTGAGAACTGATTGAGAGGTAGAATTATCTCCATTTCAACAGTTTAACCTTGTAACTGTCTGAGATATTTTTGCCAGGATGTATGTATAACATTACAATATACAAAGAGAACTATAACCAAATATTGCAAAAATATTTGACTTGTTTTAAAGCAATTGGTTGGGTTTTTTAAGAGCAAAAAGAATTATATAGGAAAAAAAGCCTATAATTTTAAAATGTTAATAGTTTAAGATATTTATGTAAACATTTTTAATCTTTTTTAAACATAAAAATATTTTACAGCCAGTATAGCAAGAGAAATTTGACATCTTGCTATGCTGCTAATATGCCTTGACCATCTTCTTGTTTATTCATAGATTGGAAAAGAAAGATGAGCTTTCCTGGTTTTCCCTCTCCAATTTCCAAATGAGATTCAGTTTGAAGTAAATTAGTCTAAAAGAAGAAAAGACTGTCACCAACTTCAAAAGAAGCTGCTGCTGTTGCATTGGAATCTCAAGTGCTAAAATGCCTTCTGCAAGGGTATTTCTTTCTTTAAAACCTCATCAACAAATATGTATTTCTTGAGTGGTTCTTTTATCCTTAGCACTGAAATGTATTATATTGGTTATCATGGAGAGAAGATGGCTAGATGTCTCTGTCATAGTCAACTTGTTCTTCTATAGTTACAAATTGACCCTGAACATCATGAAACTAAAAAAGAAAGAAGCAAAGAAGATAATTGAGAGATAAAATTTATTGTGACCTATAAAAGTTTTTTTTTAAATGGTTATGTGACTATACCTTAAAGCTCAAATGTCATGGACTTAGCTTTTTGTTTATCATGGACCCCATCAGTAATTTAGTGAAACCTATGAACTCTTTCTCAGGATAGTGGTTTACTGCCTGCATTCATAATTGAAGGAAATGCTAAATTTCTGTTAGAGGTTTCTCCCCATCCCAAGTTCACAGACGTCCTGATCACTTTTTGAAATCTAGTATTTTTTGGAAGAAGCATTTTAACTATAATATTTTAGATTAGTTTTTTTAAAAAAGCGTTGATTAAAAAAGAACCAGCCTGATGGTAAAATGAGGTGTTATTAAAAATTATAATAGATATTAATTTGTTAAATTATTTAATAATAATAAACATATAAATAATAATAATAAATATGAAGGTACCATAAAAGTCCTATTACATATAAGAATTGGTGGGCCAGAAAGTGAAGATACTGTTGAAGGAATTTTTACTTTAGTCATTGACTTGAATAAACCACCAATTTTGGACTTCAAATTTTCAGGGTCTTACCAGAAAGTAAATTATTTCAAAACATTTTACTCAGTAGGAGTCACCTGTACTAAGTTGGAATTATTGTCCATTTTAATTACAGTGCTCTTCCTAGTTTATTATTGTGTATACAGTCATAAAAAGAAATTATCTCCTAAAAGGTAAATCATGTTGTAGCATAATGACCACTTGGTTATTTTTTATGTATTTTTCTAATAGTCATAGAAATTCAATAATCAAACATGGAGTACTGAGATAAATAGATCTTGATTTTACTTCCTTTACTTAGGTATAGGATAGAAAGAGATATTTTATGTGACAGCACTTTGAGGTTCTATAGGCAGAAGAACTTTATAGATCCAAAGTGATATTGTTTCATAGTGTTGTGCTATAGTGAAAAGAACCTTTGACTTAGAGTCAGAGGACTCATATCTGAGTACTGACTCTGATCCTTATTGGGCAAATCATTTAACCTTTCTGAGGCTCAACTTCCTCATCCATGCAGTGGAGAGAATAATATATGCACTAACTACTTCTTAGTGTAATCCTGAAGAAAACACTTTTTAAGTCCTAAACGCACTATTAAAATGTGAACTATTCTTTGTTTCCCAGAACATTTACAATGTGAACTCATTGTAACAGGGCATGTTGTACATCATAGTAATTTGTTGCTGGAATAAAAACCAGTAGTAATAAGGCAAATGATGAAAAATATCATATTCTAAACTAGCACCAAAATATGATAGAATCCCAGCACGTTAAAACTACCCTCCAAGGGTATATAAATCTACTGGTCAGCTCATCATGATGATAGCTATTTTGATATTCTGTGATCTGATATCTTCCTTTCCCCACCCCAACTTGCAACCCAAAATTTAGTTCATACGTACATTTGTTTATTTTTCTATGTATGAATTGATTAGCATAGCATTACAACTTATTAATATTTCAAACTGTAAGGCAATTCAGATAGTTATGATATACCACTGTTGATATAATTCATAAAAAGGTAAAAAAAAATACCTAAGTACAGTGAGCTATACTTTAGATCTCAGTTGTAATCCTAGCTTCTTAATTTAGAAATTGGACGGTTTAGGTTTGCCAGGGAAATAAGTCCACAATTTAAAAAAGTTAATCCTTGGTGGATCCTTGCAATTTAAAAATATTTACTTTTTCTCCAACTTTAACCCCCTACCTTTACTTCCCTTTGTAATTCCTTATTCTGTCTTTGGCCACATATCTAAAAATAATGGCAACTAGCATTCCTAGAATAATTACAAGAATGATAAAAACGTGAATTACCAAACATTTAATTTTAGTTTATCTCATCTGAGCCTCACTATATACATATATATGTATTTTTGTGTGTGTGTGTATATATATATATATATATACATAATGTTGGGGTTTAGGTATGCAGGGACTCAAAAATCACAACACATGGTTCCTGCCTGAATGAATTCGACTGACCTCCCAAAACATTCATTCAACCGAAGACAAGGTTTATTAAAGATCTGCCATATTGGCCAGACTCTTAAGGAATCTGAGCATTTGTGAGCTATTGGCGAGATTATAAGAATCTGAGCCCTTGGCTAGGTTCTTAAGGAATCTGAGTATTTGGCTAGATTTTAACAATCTCAGAAACTTAATGGAGACAAGATGAATCTTATATATAGAAAGACTGTGGGAGGAATCTAGGAGTGTCCAAGTAGTCTGGGGATGACTGGAGAAGGGGTCTAAGGAGGATCCGGATGGGAGTGGCCAGTAAACTGGAGTGACCAGGATCACAGAATAGAGTCTAGATAGGATTAAGGGTGAGAAGTGGCCAGGGGCAATCAGGAGGTAACAGAATAGAATTGAGAGATTGGGCAAAGCCACAATAAAAGGCCAGTTGAATGGATGACAGCCTCAGGTAAATGCCAGAGATTTGGGAAAAGTCCAGGGATTTCTTTTTTGGGGTCCAGATCCCAAAGACATGGTCTTTTCCTTTTAGGGATTCAGATCCCATTCCCATCATATATATATATATGTCTGTATGTGTGTGTATATACATATATATAACTTGTACATATATAATATATACATACATACATATACATACATACACACACACACATTATATAATACATATACATAAAATCTAAGATTCATGGGTGGTATTAGGAAGCCAAGTGTCAGAGAGATTAAGTGATTTACCCAATATCACGTAGCTACTGTGTGTGTTCAAGTCAACATTTGAACTTGTATTTAACACTATCTGCTATTATCATGCTGCTTCTTAGTATTTACAGAAAAATGGAGTGGGGATGGGGAACATCAGGGAAGAGAGGGTAGGTAATCATGTAGGTGATTAGTTTTCATTCCATCTTTCCTATTCTCAGGAGACTGTAGTGATACAATCACAGAGCTGGAAGGGACCTAAGAGGCCACCTAATCAATTCCTTTATTTTCCAGATGAGAAACTGAGGGTCAAAGGGCCAAACTGAATTCTTTCTTCTCTTTTCTATCCATTATCAGGGATCTTCTGCCTCTCTCTGCCCAACCCCCATAACTGAATCCCCACAGTCTGGAAGCGAGGAAGAAATGTTTCTTGCTTATCATTTTGATGGAAGAAAAAAAAAATAAGCTTAAAAATGGAGAAAGAAAAGTCATAATGAAAGGATGAGTAAGCGAAATGTTGGATACTAAAGAATTAAGGGATCTTGTATCTAATTCCTAAATGAAACTATTAAGTTTCTGTTTAATAAAATTAGGAAAAATAATAATGATGATGCCTTTCATGTGTATGGGTCTTTATAGTTTGCAAGACATTTTCTGGCACATTTTCTTATATAATCTTCATGCTGAACCTTCAGGATAGGTAATATTCCCATTTTACAGAAAAGGAAACTTAAACTCAGAGAATGTATGACTTATTATATATTTTGTTATTGACAGAAGCACTAGACTCTGGGTGTCATGAGTTTCCTAATCCAACAAATTTTTCCTTTTATGAGGAAAAATTTTTCCTTTTTTTTCCCCAAAGACCAACAAATTATATAGCTATCTATGCCTCCACTTTTTCCAAAGTCTCTCTGAAATTGCCCCCTTCATCATTTCTTACAGAGCAATAATATTCCATCACATTTATATACCATACCCTGTTCAACCATTCATCAACTGATGGGCACTCTCTCAGATTTCCATCCTTTGCCACCTCAGAATGAGCTATAAATATGTTTTGTATATACTTAGTTAGAATTTGTTATGCTCAGGGCTAACCCCTCTCAATCTACTCTCTTCTCTAATACTTTCTTCTTCCCTCTCCTTTCTATTTCTCTGTTAAGTGAAATGTATTTCTGTACCTAATTGTGTGTATATTCTTCTCTCCTTTGACCAGTTCAGATGAGAGTGAAGTTCAAATGTTAGCTGCTCCCTCCAAGGCCCTCCTCCCTGTTGGTATAGATGTCTACTTGTGCACCCTGATTATGTCAGATAATTTTCCCTAACCTTCCTTTCCCTTCTCCCCTAGTATTCCTCTTCCCCTCTCTTTTTATTCTCTTAAGATCATCAAGATATAACAAAATCATTCTTAGGCCTTGTCTAATTAGTCTCCTTCTGTGTTCTCTGATAATGATGGAGTTCAGAGGGTCACATGCATCATTTCCCCACATTAGAATTCAAACCATTTATACTTTTGTTTAATCCTTTATCATTCATGTTTACTTTTTGTTTCTCTTAACTCCTATGTGAAACTTCAAAATTTCTATATAGCTCTGACTTTTTTTTTTTAACAGAAATGCTTAGAAGTTCTTTATTTCATTAAAGATCTGTCCTTCTCCATGTAGTATTATATTCCATTTTGCTGGGTAAGTTTTTCTTGGATGTAAGCCCATATCTTTTGCCTCCTGGTATATTGTATTCCAAGCTCTCTGCTCCTTTATAGTGGTGGTTACTAAATCATGTGTGACTTGACTGTGGCACCTTGGTACTTAAATTCTGTCTTTCTAGCTGCTTGCAGCATTTTTTTCTTTGACCTGGAAGCTTTGGATTTGGAGCACACTGTTCTTGGAAGTTTTCATTTTGGGGTTTCTTTCAGGAGGTAACCAGTGGATTCTTTATATTTCCACTTCATTTTCTGTTTCTAAGAGATCTGGGCAGTTCTCTTTTAAGATTTATTCAAATTTGATGTTTTAGCACTTTTTGTTTTGGTTGTGATTTTCAGGTAGTCCAATGATTCTGAATTTTTTTCTTCTTAAATCTGTTAATAAGAAACACCTTACATTTTCTTCTTATTTTTTTAGCCTTTTGACTTTGTTTTAATATTTCTTATCTCATGGATTTTTATCTCATGGATTAATTAGCTTTTATTTCGTCCATCCTAATTTTCAGGAAGTTTGTTGCTCTGGCAATGTTTTGTACCTCTTGTGCATGCTATTAATTCTCTTTCCAATTTTTTCTTCCATAGATCTCATTTCTTTTCTGTTTTTTTTCCCTTTAGCATTCATTTATTAATTTATTTTTATTTAAAAAAATTTTTTAAACTTTTTTTTTTAAGCAAACTCATTTCATCCCTTCTTGGAATTCTAGTTAAGTTTTTGTCTAAGTTGTAGTTTCATGTTTGGTTTTGCTTTTAGATGTTTTGGTTTTCTGTGTTTGTATTTTCAACATCCTTGTCACCATAAAAGTTTTTTACAACGAGATTCAATTTTTTTATTTTTTCATTGTCACTTAATAAATATTAAGCCCTTGCCCTACTATGTGTCAGGCACTATGCTAAGTACTGGATACAAAAAGAGACAAAAGATAGTCTCTCTCTCCACAAGGAGCTCACAATCTAATGGAGTAGACTACAAGCGAACAATTATGTACAAATAAGCTATATACTGGATAAATAGTAAATAATTAAGAAAGGGAAGACACTAGAATAGCAGAGGTTGGGAATGGCTTCCTTTAGTTAAGACTTGAAGGAAGTCAGGTAAGCCAGCAGGCAGAGATGAGGAGGGAAGAACATTTCATTCATGGAGGAGCAGCCAGAGAAAATGCCCAGAACCAAGAGATGAAGCATCTTGTTTGTGCAACAGCCAAAGAGCCAGCATCACTGGATTGAAGGGCATGTATTGGGGGGCAAGGTGTAAAGATTGGAAAGGAAGTAAGGAGCTTGATTGTGAAAGACTTTGAATGCCAAACAGGATTTTATATTTGATTGTGCAATTGATGGAGAGCCAATGGACTTCATTGAATAGAAGGGTGTCATGGTCAGACCTGCATTTTAGGAAAAGAAGCTAAATGAGTGGAAACAGACCTGAGGCAAGTGGTCTTGCAATAGCAGCTGGCTATTACAATAATTCAGGTATGAGGTGATAAAGGCCTGCACCAGGGTGGTGGCAGTGTCAGAGAAGAGAAGGAGGTATATCTGAGAGATGTGGCAAGGGTGAAATTGGGAGGCCTTGGCAACAGATTGACTATGGAAGGGGGGTGGTGAGAGAGACAGTAAGAACTGAGGTTGATGCCTGGGTTGTGAGCCTGAGGGACTGGAAGGATGGTATTACCATCTTCAGTAATAGGGAAGGTGGTGCTGGGAGTATAGAGGGAAAGATAATGAGTTTTGTTTTGTGTTTATTCAGTTTAAGATATCTACTGGACATCCAGTATGCGATGTCTGAAAGTATTTGAAGATGTGAGATTGGAGGTCAGAATACAGGTTGGGACAGAATGGGTAGATTTGAGAATCATCAGCATAGAGAGGGTAACTAATTAAATGCATGGGAGCTGATGAGATCCCCAAGTGAAGTGATATAGAGGAATGAAGAGAAGGCGGCCCAGGACAAAACCCTGTGGGACACCTGTGGTTAGAAAATGAGATCTGGAAGAGGATCCAGCAAAGAAGACTGAGGGGCGGTCACATAGGCAGGAGAAGAACCAGGAAAGAGCAGTGTCCCAAAAACCTAAAATATTAGGAGCGGCAGCGGGGTGATCAACAGTGTCAGAGGCTTCAGAGAGGTAGAAGAAAATAAGGGTTGAAAAAGGCCACTGGGTTTGGCAATTAAGCAATCATTGGTAACTTTGGGGAGAGCTGTTTCAGTGGAACGATGAGGTCGGAAGCCAGATTGTAAGGGGTTAAGAAGAGAGTGAGAGGAGAGAAAAGAGAAAAGTATTTTAGGCCTTTTCAAAAAGTTTAACCACAAAGGTTCCTCGCTTACCTTCTGACTTCAAACCTGCAAGCTTACAGTGCTACCAACGTGGTCTGATCCAGGGCAGCATCGTGATCACCTCCCCCCTGGCCTGACCTCTGCAATTCCCTGATCTGGATTTGGGTCTGGGCAGCAAGGTGGTGCAGTGGATAGAGTGCTAGCCCTGGAGGCAGGAGGACCTGAGTTCAAATTCAGCCTCAGACACTTACTAGCTGTGTGACCCTAGGCAAGTCATTTAGTCCTCTTTGCCTCATTTCCTCATCTGTAAAAGGAGCTGCAGAAGGAAATGGCAAACCACTCTAGTATCTTTGCCAAGAAAACCCCAAATGGGGTCATGAAGAATCGGGCATGACTAACCGACCACAAGAAACAACAGAAGACTGCTGCTTTACTCATCTGCTATCAGTTAGCTGGGAAGCCCTGTTGGTTCTAGGTGACTTCCCTTCCCTTTTTGTCAGGGATTCCTGCCCTGGTTATTCCTCTTCAGGTTTTTGGTTCAGCTAGGAGTTGGAACTGAGACGCTGCTCTGCTCCTAGGGTAGGCGTCACACGAGTTCAGAAGAATTTGCTTCTCTTGATCTGCAGCCTATACCCAGAATGCCACCCTTGGGTGCAGGTTCCCTTTCACCTAGATCTGTGACCTAGAATTGGGTAGCGAACAATGAAGCTGCCAGTTGGCACCCATTCCCATTCTCTGTATGGGTCTAGGTCTATGTAGGAGCACTTCTTATCCTGGGCCATAGCGTTTCCCTGGGTGCAAGTGCACTTGGCCAGAGATGTCCCCAGTATCCACAGACTTCTTTGTCTCCTTGTGATTACCTGGGCTAGAAAAGGGACTTAATAGATTTCTCCAACAGGACTTGGTATAGCATGTTTTCTAGTTTGGAGGAGTTCTGGTGGGGAGCTTACCATATTGCTTCCTGCTTCTCCATCATCTTGGCTGTATCTACCAATGATCACTTAATTGTAACCCTGATAATCAATCCTAATTCTTCATGACCTTTATGCATCATTTGACACTGTTGATCACCCTCTCCATTCTCTGGGTGTTCATGATACTTCTGTCTTTTGGCCCTTCTCCTGCCTATCTAATCACTCCTTCTCAGTCTCCTTTGTTAGCTCATCATTCGTAACATACCCTCTGATTTTAAGGCTTCATTCTGGACCCCTTCTCTTTATTCTCTATGCCCGCTCCTAGTGAACTCATCAAGTCCTGTGGGTTTAATGGTAATCTGTGTTGATGACTGTTAGATCTTTATATCCAACCCTAATTAATCTCCTGAGCTCCAGTCCTATATCTCCAAATGCTGATCAGACATTTCACACATGTTCCATAGGCATCTCAGACTCAGCATGCACAAAACAGAATTAATGATCTTTCCCCCAAAACCCCATCCTCCTATCGACCTTCTCTATTTCTGTCAAGGGTCATTCTTGATTACTTAGTGATTCTTGATTACTCATTCTCACTCACCCTCACATCTAATCAGTCATGAGATCCCATCACTTATGCCTCCATATCTTTACTTAGGGCTCCTCCACTAACACAGCTACTCCTTGAGTTCTGGCAGTATTACCTCTTGACAGACTTTTGCGGTAACCTCTTAATTAGTCTCTCTGTCCCCATACTAATCCATCCTCTACAAAGCTGCCAAAGAGATTTTCCTAAAGTCCGGATCTGTTCATGTCATTCTGTACTCAATAAACTTCAGTGGCTTCCTCTTCCATCAAGGATCAAATATAAGACCAGAATATAAGACCAAATAAGATCAAATATAAGACCAAATGCAAATGTTTGGCCTCTACCTTTTGCAGCTTTATTTCACATTACTCTCCTTTATATATATGATATATAAGTATATAATGTAATATATATATATATATATTAATATATATTTCATATACACTAGGATCAATCCAGAATGGTTTTCTTAGTATTCATTTCACATGCCATTTCACATCCCTTCTCTGAGGCTCTCTTCCCTGTGCCTAAAATTCACTTTTTCCTAACTTCCATTTCCAAGAAACCTTAGCTCCCTTCAAGGCTCAGCTCAAATGGCACCTTCTACATGAAACCTTTTCTGATCTCCCCCAAATGTCCTTCTATCTATTTTGCCTATGCCCACGTGTGTAGGGGGTGTCTAACTGAGCTATGTAGTAAGCTCCTTGAGAGTAGAGACTGTTTCCCTTCTGTCTTTCTACCCTCCAACAGTGCCCAGCACATAGTAGGTGCTTTGTAAATGGTTGTTGATTATTCAGACCATAATCATCTCAGCTATGAACATAATTGTAATACCACCTTGTGTTTATACAGCTGCTTTCTTCCTAAGAATCCAAAGCATTCTCATAGTTAAGATTTCCTTCTGTCCTCACAGCATCCCCTTGCCATAGAAACAGTGGCAAGGTAAATTATCTAAATTTGACCAATGTAAATTTTAAGACAAAAAAAAATTTAAGATAAAAAGCAAAGTGTAAGCAAGTATTTCTTTCAAGGAAAAATTTTTTATGTAGTCTTGATTTTGATATAAAGATTAAAAGTAACTTTGGGGAGATTATTGTTTTGGTGAAGATATTAATTTGTTTAAATAAGTACATTTTGTAAATTATACCTAACTTGAGAGAATAATTCCCCAAATACATTTTTACATTTATATATATGTATATAACTAATCTGTTTTTATTATTAGAAAGTAAGAATTAAAGAACCAACAGATCAAAGAGAAATGTGGTGGCGGACAACATTAAAAGTATGTGTATTTCAATTTTTCCTTATTTTTTCTTTTTGTATAGAAACTGCATGAAAGGAGGAACTTCACACCTATCAGTCATATTATAAACTCATCATTTCAGTAAAACCGTAGGAATTAGAAATATAATTTAAATTTTTCATATAAAACCCTGAAAAGTAAAACAAATCAGGATTAGAGAAATCACCATGACCTCCAAAAATGTTATCCCGGTGCTTGATATTTGGGGGTACCAGGTGGCTAGAAAGGGAGAGGTTTCAGGGATCCCAGAAATAGTAGTAGAAAAGCCAACTCATTTCACTCTCTCAGAACACCTGGCCTCCCCTCCACACTGGCTTCAATGTTATTTCCTCTCTACAAATCCCTCAATGACACCATTTAGTCTCCTTCCCTAGAATTCAAAGGAGGCCCTGAAAGTTTTTAAGCTTGGTGGTAGTGTCCCCTAGGAAATGGTATTTAAAAGCAGACTGGTTTGGTGGGGACCTAGCTGACAGGATGCAATGCAGTGAGGCAGCCAGATTTAAATACGAGATAGGGGTTAAGAAGGGAGAAAAATGGGGAAAGACCTTGGGAGATGGCAACAGAACTTTACGAGTCAAAGCCTGAAGAAAGTGGGGAGATCGGTATTATGTATTGTGGCATTAATTTGTACTAATAATATATATATATATATGTTTTTAAAGAAAAGCTTTTGCAGCAGCTAGGTGGTGCAGTGGATAGAGCTCCGACCTTGGAGTCAGGAGGTCCAGAGTTCAAATCCAGCCTCAGATGCTTAATACTTACTAGCTATGTGACCTTGGGCAAGTCACTTAACCCCAATTGCTTCACCCAAAAAAAAAAAAAAAAAGAGGGAGAGAGAAGCTTTCAACAACAGCTGGATTATTAGAGGGATCATCTCTAAAGAAAGTATAAGGAATTGGCTGCTAATGAATTTTTTTACTGCATGAAAGAGAATTTTGATTCCTTAATTTTAGGACTGGCTTCTAGATACAAAATATTTGTGAAGACTGGCTTTACAACATATTAAAATGACAATGCTTCCAGATCATAATATAACCAAAAAAAGATGGAAGTAGGGTTTAGAGTATTTTGCCTTTGGTTTTGTTCATATCTTGTTGTATGGTCTTTACAATTTTTTCAGATTATTTTAGACATTGTTAACAGTCTGTTCCCAGTACACCAAGGACGTGTCATTTTGTTGGCTAAAGGTTACCACCCGGGGCTTAGTGAATTTAAGTGCCTTGCCCATGATCACAGCTAATAAGGGTTAGAGGTGAGGTTTGAATGCAGGTCTCCCCTACTCCAAAACCAGTCCCCATCTTCTCCTACTAGATAGTGTCCTTAAGGGTCAGTTTGGGTAAACATAGGAGTTCCCTCTAGAGAGCCAAGAGCCCTGGATTGCAGAAACAATCCCCACCTCTCCTTCACTTCACCTACCTGACTTTGGAGAAAAAGGGTCCGCTGGGACAAAGGTTTCTTATGCTGGACCTACAAACATGGAGGTAGAGTTGCCATACCTTTCCATCATCTACTGTTCATGTGAAGACAAATACATAACTAGAAATGGTTGACACTTACAGGTCTCCTCTGCTCATTCCCCTGGAGAGGGCACAAGTGTAATGTGGAGAATAGTTTGTCAGCCGTAGAATGTGGGGGTATCAGAGGGCACAGTGTAGGGCAGGATAGAGTGGGATAGGGAGGGGGCAGATGGATGGCACAGTGGATAGAGAACTGGGTCTGGAGTCAGGAAGACGAATTCATTCCAGCCTCAGACACTACTATGTGACCCTGAGCAAGTTACTTAACCTCTATTTGCCTCAGTTCTTCATCTGTAAAATGGGGACATACTGTAGAAGGAAATGGCAAGAAACCCCCATGGATTTGTCTGTGGGGTTACAAAGAGTCGAACAGGACTGAGGGGCCAAACAAAAACAAGGGACGTGGGAAAGATGGAACTGATATGGATCGGTATGAGAGAGCTATAGTAGGTTTGAACAGTGGTCAAGGAAAGAAATCTTTGGGCTTAGGCAACCTACCAATCAGAATCCAAGGGATGCTTAGTGAAGCAACAGGAAAATAGATTGTCATGTTCTTCGTAGTAGCAATAATAATGTTGACTTTAATAAGCTCTGAACAAAAGGTGGAAAGGGGGAGGAAGGTATGAATAAGGTACATACAAGCCTTAGTTCAGGGCAGAGGGAGAATCTGCTGGGCTTGTCTTATGGTCAAGATGGGATAAGCAGAATTAGTCAATAAGCACTTATTTAGTGTTTGATATATGCCAGGGGCTGTACAAAGTGCCTAGAATACAAATAAAGGCAAAAACACATTTCAAGGAGGGGGAAACAAAATGCAAATAATGAGGCCCATACAAGATGTGTAAAAAAAGTTTATGGAAGGCAATCTGAGAGGGAAAGCATTTGGGGCTAGGGGAGCCAGGTAGGACCCCCTACAGAAGGTGGCTTTGGAACCAGTCCTGAAGGAAGCCAGGGAGGTAGCCCTCGATGATTTTAGAGGGGTGGAGCATTTTTATTTGCTCACCAGCCACAGTCAGCTCTGCCCCAAGACCCACTCCCATGTTAAGTAGATGAATTCCCCCATTGTTGGGGAGGGAGCTCAGGGGGGTCGTTAGCCCTGGACTGGTGGCAGGGGTGGAGGGGAAGGAGTGCCAGGGCAGATGGCCAGTCTCTCCTCCTACCTGATGGTCACAGTACGGTTTGGTGGAGTATTGGATTCCAGCGATGCTAATGCTAAAGCTTTTTTGCAACGAGTATGTCAGAAATAAAATAATCAGAGTCTAGCCACCCTCAAAGTCTAGTTGTAGCAAGAGCGTTTGGATTATATCACAGTGTTTCATTAAAGCACTCATTAGAAGTGAAGAAAGATGCAGATGATCTCAGAATCAATGTTGCTTTTCAACAGGAAACTCCAGTACCAGGTACCTACACAGTGCGAGACTTTCTGGAAGAATCCCGTTTAAACCCAGTGAACAGTACATACAATTTTAAAAATGAAGGTAGAACCAAAGTCTCTTTTGTGGAATCGAGGAGGGATACAACACTGCCCGATATACCCGAGTACGTGCCTCCTAACTTCATTGACCTAATCAGTAAGCAGATGGCTTCTTACTCATTCAAAGACACCCCAAGGCAAAACCCCAGCATGCTGTGTCTCAAAGATCAGGTAAAACTCTATCAATGCATTATCTCTTGTTTGTGAGATTTGAGGTAATCATGTTCTTTAGAAATCAAGCTTTTAATTTTTGTTTCCTTTTTTAAACTTCATTACCCGGGGTGGCTCTCCGAGGAGGCAAATAGGGAGGTCTATATACGCATTAGCAAAGGTATTAACATGAATTAATTAATTATTAAGAACAAAAGGTATGAATAAAAATATGATTAAGAGATTTTTTTAAAAGAAGTCAAGCAGTTAGTATCTGTTTGCAAATACAGTATGATCAGCGTGAATATCCCCTTGGGGCTCCGCTGTTGAAATTTCCTTTGACCATTTTGGTCATGGAAGGCTACAGGCTCTCTTAATTCTATATAAATAAATAGAGGGCTTCTTTCTGGCCCCTTAATAACTTCGACTCAGAAGAGCCAGGTTCACTGAATAAAGTTTCCGATTGTTTTAAAGCTAATTTGGAAACCCTCTTATTTTAAACAATTGCTTCTATATTAAAAAAAATTATTTCTATTGTTAAGTGCCTGCATCAATCAGCCTGATCATAACAGTGCCTTGTTTTCCTTTGTTTTTAAAGAATTATCATGTGTTGTATAATCTGGTAGAAGTGAGGCCTGGCCTGACAGCCATTGGGGAAAGAAAGAAACCTGTATTAAACACCTACCATGTGCCAGGCACAGTGCTAAGCACTTAGGAATATTATCTCAGGAAGGTCAGAGTCTCATCCCAAATGACTTCATTCATAATTTTGAATACCTACTAGATGGCCTAACTATAGAACCTGTGGTTTTTCCCCTGTACCAAATAGGTGGATCCAGTTGTCTTTTCAATTTATTTTTCAGAAAGGATTTGTCATTTTATATCCATTTTATATCATTCAAATATAGCTTAAAAAAAATCAGGAAAACACATGTAGTTATTTTACCTGACAAATACACACACACACACACACACACACACACAGATTTTTCATAATGCTTAAAGCTTTGCAAATCATTTTTCATACATTCATTCATACATACATATATACATACATACATACATACATACATCTTATTTCATACAACCCAATGAGGTACGTACTCTTATTATCTCCATTTTACAGAAGATGAAACTGAGGCTAAAAGGAGATAAAGTGACCTCCCCAAGGTCACACACGATAGTATCTAAGATAGAATTTGAACTCAGGTTTTCCTAAGTTCCAAACCTAACACTCAAGCCATTGCCCCACACTGCCTCCTCCTCAGTAGATCCATCAAAGACCTTCACCAAAGCCCTAGTTTGATGGTTCATTTTGGCTTTGAAGGTGTCCCTTGGTTCTCTAGAGCAGGGGGGTCAAACTCAAATAAAAATTGGGGCCACTGAATCATCATAAATCCCTGAGGGCTGCAGACCTACTTAGAAAACTTCTGTTCTGGAGGCTTTGGCAGGGCCAAGTTCTATGATCTGAGAACCCTCTTAGCTAAACCCAGAGAGACTCCACACCAGAGTGTTAGCCACCACATGACTGAGTTTTTTTTTTTAATCACAGCATCGCTACTTCTTAGTAAAAACTCTAAAGGGGTTTATATTAGGTGATATGTATTAGATATGTGTTAGGTGGGGGAATGCGAATACTGATGAAATCACAGAGCCTTAAAATATTGAAGTATTATATAATGGGGGTGGAGCTTTTTAGATATTCAGCTTATAACCTTTTCCCCCCATACATAAACAAGTGAATATTTTGGCTTTGTTAGCAGAACTCAAAAGAAATAATAACTTGAGTTAAGGTGAACATTTATAATTGAAAAACTCAGGGTTCATAATAACTAAAGAAGTTTGCATGAGCGTTACCAATTAAATCTCAGATCAGTCAGTCAATAAACATTTATTAAGCACCTACTATGTGCCAGGAACTGTGCTAAGTGGTGGGATACAAAAAGAGGCAAAAGACAATCCCTGCCTTCCAGGAGCTTACAATCTAATCAAATGTTCATTCTATGTAATTACTAGAGAATCTAGATCGGGGAATGTATTTATTTTATTTTATTTTTAATTTAATTTAATATTTTTATCATTTTATTATACTGTATATATTTATTTTATATTTATTATGTTATTTATACTTTTGTATATAAAATTATATATTATATATAGATATTTAGCAAAACATATAAAATGTATTTTTATATAATTTATTAATACAAATTGGAGAAAAACAAATGACAAACACAAAATACTTGAAATATCATTATTGCAGGGATAGCTAGGTGGCACAGTAGATATAGTACCAGCCTTGGAGTCAGGAGGACCTGAATTCAAATCCGGCCTCACACATAGAACACTCACTAGCTGTGTGACTCTGGGCAAGTCACTTAATCCCAATTGCCTCACCAAAAAAAAAAAAAGAATCATTGCAAGCAAAGCATGGTGGTACACACCTGTAATACCAGCTCCTGGATAGGCCTAGGCTGTTGGATCACTTGATTTGGATTTCTGAGCTACAGTAGGGCTAAAGCCATTGGGGTGTCCGCACTAAGTCAGTCCAATACCAATATGGTGGGTCTCCAGGAGCTGGGAGCAACAAGGCTTCCTAAGGAAAGACAAACCAGGTCAGGTGGGAAACAGAGCAAGTCAAAGCTTCCATGCCCATCAGCAGTGAGATCGAGAATGGGGGGGGGGGGCTGGAGCACTTCCAGCATGCCTGACTTAGGAGACCCAGTCTCAAAAAAATAAAAATAAAAATAAAAGAAAGGAAAAAAAAATTATGTCATAATGTCATATTGAGTCTACTAATTGAAATTCAGGGTTGTGAAAAAGTAACTCCCCTTTGCATTGCGAATTCACGTGTGTGATGACGTGTAGGCAACATTCAGCAACTCGTTCTCCTTCCTATTTGAGTCTGTATCACTTCCTACAGCCTCCCCTCTCCTTCTGTAAGCTTAGTGTCTTTCCTCTGTGATGGTTATCTTTGAAATCTTTCTAAAGCTTGGTCTGGGGAGATACTTTTTCTTGGTTGTAGTCACTCAAATCATGATCTACTTCAGCGGCACTTGGGTTTAAGATTGAACTATTGGGCCATGGTTTAAACCTCTCCACATCTTTCCACTTAATGTTAAATAGCTTTTTGTCTTAAATTTTTAGGCATTGTCATTGGGTCATTAAGACTCTCCTATTTGCTGAATGGAATTTATTATTAAATTATCTATTTATTCATTCATTATTTAATTATTTATTATTTAATTTTGTGCCTCAACGATCTGGACTCAGCTCTTTGAGTCACACAGACTATCTTTCGATGTAAGGGACAGCTTGAGTGATCCTTCCTGCTCCAGCCAGGGCTGAGTTCTGAAATGGCTTCTTAACTTTCTGTGGATGCCTGCTTGTTCCCTGAACCGCCATCCTGTCTTCCACCCAGTTGTCATTTCTTTTTCTTTTTTGGCTAGGTGATGGGGTTAAGTGACTTGCCCAGGGTCACACAGCTAGTAAGTGTCAAGTGTCTGAGGCCAGATTTGAACTCAGGTCCTCCTGACTCCAAGGCTGGAGCTCTATCCGCTGCGCCACCTAGCTGCTCCCACAGTTGTCACTTCTTTCAGGTCCACGATGGAACAGGAAGCAGTCTTCATAGCTCCTCTCTGAGCCTCAGGTTGCCACTCTGTTTTGAGTTTTTTGTGCCCGCAAACACAAAATATTTGACATATCATAATGGAAAACCCAGTGTGGCACGTGCCTATTATAATCCTTGCTTCTGGGAAGACTGAGGCTGGAGAATTCTTTATCCTACAGTGCCTGACACCTAGTAGGCACTTTATTCAATACTTGTTGATTATTCGATTACTAGGTTGTCAGCTCCTTGAGGGCTGGGATCGGGTCTTATCTCTGTCTAGCATAGTGCATTTCCTACAATAAGTAGGTGCTGAATAGATAAATGATTGTTAGATAGACATTATTCCAAAGCACCTCTACAGCTATGCCTCTCCTGTATTCATATAAACCCAAGGTGATGTCAGACCCTAAGGTCTGTGAACACAATGAACATTACTTCATTAGTTATCTAGGTTAATAACTAATTCTGTTATGCTTTATTTATGATGCTTGGTTATAGCAAGACCTCTAGGCATCTGCTGTAAAACCTGATTAGAAACATTAATTAGCTGAGACAGAGTGTTTCTGTGTTCTGCACTGCCCAATTCCTTATTGGACTATAGAAACCTAATTGTGATAGGAAGAATTCTACAGGAGAAGCCTTTTCAGGAAAATCCCATGCCAAAGCAGGAAGTTAATACATACAGTTAACAGTCACACATACTGAAAATGTGACCATGATGCATAGGGAGATGGTCTCTGCACTAAGGCTTTGGACTGCTCAATGCACCATGAAAAAAGAAGGAAACAAAACCATTTTTGCAGCCAATGCCAAATAAAAGAGCTGAGGTGTCAGATGCTCTAAGGAGCCCCAGCCTTCTTGATCAGTTTTGGCATGTTGCCTAAAGCCCTGGCCCATATTTCAGGGCATTTCCATGATGCTTCATTCCAAAACTCTAATATGGATTGCTGACTGTACATGATCAAACAGTTGCTTTATCTTTAAGGTTCAGTGTTTTAACTCTTAATTATAGCCACAACAAATGTTTCTTTGGAGTTTGTAATATCAAGAAAATACTAAGCCAGAACAATGGTGCAGCTATGCCTTTTAAAATCAAAATTACATTTAAAAAGCAAAATTTAAAATTAATTCATATTTACTCTGATCATCATTGCCACTGCAAAATCTGCATCTGGAGCCAGAAATGCATATCACTTTATAAAGAGCAGCTATGTGGTAACTAGGGTAATATGGACAATGCTAGCACATGTATGAAAACCTGATTTAGAAGGGAAAAAAACACTTTAGGGGATAATTTTTAACTTTAGAAGATAATTGACCAAAGAATCTCTTTAATAATAGAACCTTTAGTACACTTAAAGTATGGCTTATTTTCCAATAATTTTATATATGTGTAACCTTTTATGATTCTCAAGGACACATGATTTCGAGAAATGCAGTAGACTTCAATTGAATGACCACAAAGAGGAAATATAATGTAGTGGATAGACTTATAGGCTTTGAACTGGGAAGAACCAGATTCAGTTCCTGCCTCTAGCTAATGGCAGTGGCCAAATCACTTAACTTTTCTTAGCATCAGATTTGGAGGCTTCTTTGCTGTTCTGCAGAGACTCTTGTGATGTGAATTAGTGAAGGGAGTTCCCATACTGATAAAAATACAGATTATTAGTGACATGAAACAGTATTTTAGACATCTGTCTTTGAATATGTGGTTTGAAAAAGTTAAACACAGCTTTCTTACACTGCTGAAATAGAGAAGTAATTCTATATGAATTATGATCTTGAGATAAAAGATTACAAATGACAACAAAATGACTTTAAGACCTGTGTGAATCTATTATTATTATATTATAATATCATCTGTTATAACTATGTTATTATTATTAGAGTGTTGTTAATCTATGTCCATGTCTTGTAGAAAATTGATGTTTCACCAGGGCAATATAATATTGTTTCAGCACCAGTTCCCAAGTTCCTTGCCAGGTAATCATTATTTATTATCATTAAATTAATTATTTAATTTATGTAATTCCCCTTTACAAACTCCTTAAGAACAATTATAATAGTCTTAAATTTTCATTTATGCCAAGCATAATATTTCTTCAACCTTTACTATAATAATATGAAGGAATTCTAATAATTCTCAAAAGATAGAAATTAATAAAATGTTAGCTAAAAGAAAAATAGGTTTAAAAAATGACATGTTGCATTTTTTTTTAAATACAGGCACCATGTGTTCCGTTCTACAGTTCAAAGGTTTCCAACATATTATTTTCTTCCAGTAAGTACATTGTCGATAACTATTAATTCTTGATTTTAAAAAGAGGGACACTTGGTTTCCAACATTCTAGCTGATCCTTTTGAGACATTGTCATAGGAGGCTAGAACTGAAAGGGACCTTGAATCTAGCCCAACACCTTCATTTTATATTTGAAGAAACTTGAGTCCCCTTGAAGGTAGATGACCTGCCCAAAGACACCCAACCAGTAAATGGCAGAACTGGGTAGTCAAGATCGGTTTCCTCACTTCCAATTCAGTGCTATTTAAAGAAAAATACTTTGCCAATGAAGTAAATAGCAAATGGATGCTACTCTTTGATTTAATGCTGAAAATAAATTGAAGATTTTATAAATCTTGAATCATTTGTAGCAAATTATGAGGTTAAGCAGAAAAGACTACTCAGGAAATAAGCAAGAATGCCTGGTTTCTTCCCTCTTAGGAGTTTAAAAATGCTTTTTTTGTCTCTTAAAATTCCCACTTCTGTTAGTGAATTGTGGATAAAATAGACAGGTTCTCTGGAAGATGAATAAGGATATGTAAAAAAATTAATATTCATATCATAGCTCCAATAGAGGAATGAGAAGAGGAGATTATAACGTTAATAAAGCTGTGCTTTTTCTCATGGGGGGGAGTGATATATTTATCTGAATATGTATGATCTATTAGAACATCCAGGTGAAGGATAGAACAGATGTGATGAAAAGAATTTGAATTCCAAGTCAGGTAAAGAGAAAGAACATGGTTGCTTTAAATAGGACCAGATCTCTTAGGATGAGCTTTATCATAGAGCACTGAAAGAAATTGCATAAGTCATCATAGAACCACTCCTGGGGATCTTTGAGAAATGATGGATATGGTGAGGAGGGACTGAGCAGTTAAATCCATGATCACTTGATCTCCTCCCCACCCCATACACACACACACACACACACACACACACACACACACACACACATACTTAGTGAAATTATAGAAGGTAAGGGACAAGTAAAAGAGACACAAGGAGGTTTGATGAAATGAAAGAATGTAAGGGGCAGGTCAGAGAGATAAAGTTCAGTCAGATTTGATGGAATTATAGGGTGTTTCTTGCAATTGGTGGTGGTGGTAGTGGTGGTCCTTGGTGGAGGACCAATGACATCGCTGCTGGCCACTGATTAGCTGGGGCAGCTGGGTGGCACAGTGGATAAAGTGCCAGACCTGGAGTGGGAAAGACTCATCTTCCTGAGTTCAAATCTGACCTCAGACACTTACTAGCTCTGTGACCCTGGGCAAGTCACTTCACCCCATTTGGCTCAGTTTCCTCATCTGTAAAATGAACTGGAGAAGGAAATGGAAAACCGCTCCAGGATCTTTTCCAAGAAAACACCAAATGGGGTCACAAAAAGTTGGACATGACCGAAAGGACTGAACAACAGCAAAAGCCACTGACTGCCTATACCCCGTTGGCCTTTTAAAAAAAGCATGGCAGGGACAACTAGATGGTGCAGTAGATAGAGCACCGCCCTTAGAGTCAGGAGGACCTGAGTTCAAATTTGACCTCAGACACTTGACACTTACTAGCTGTGTGACCCTGGGCAAGTCACAACCCCAATTGCTTAACGAAAAAAAAACAAACACAAAAAGCAATACACTCTCTAGGGAGTCAATTGAGGCAGGAGATATCTCTAAGAGTATGAGCTCTGGGAGTGGAGAAGACAGACAGCTATTGAAAAATCTAGCTCTTGAGAGGGAATCATCTTTCACTTCTTAGGAAGGAAGAGACTTCTCTATCCTCTCTTCTGTCCCACATCATCCATGACATCTTGTACCATCAGGAAGAAAGGAACACAGCCATCAGAGATGCTACCCCCAGAGGATGTCATGAGAAAGGGGCCTTAGAACATCAGAAGCATGAGTTGGCATGGCCTCGTGTGTTCCCCAGTTGTGTATCTCTCTGCTAGTGTACCCTGTGTGTTTGCTCATTCTGTGTGCATCTCAAGCTTATGGGGGGTGAGTGGGGTTAATATTTTGTGGCTACTTGTCCCTATGTTGTTATCTTGGTAAATGCCTTTTCAGTCCACTGAACAGACCCACAGAATACCCTCATACACGCTTGAGCTCCAGCCACATGGGACGGCTGGCTGTTCCATGACCTGGCTTTGCATGTCTGTTGCTTCTGGGCATTTGTATAGGCCTTCTTAGCCATACCTGGAATATACTCCCTCCCGATCTCTGCCTGTTTAAATCCTTGTCTTTTCTCCAAGGCTCAGCTCAGATGCCACCACTTCCTCCATGATGCCCTTCCTTGCTCTTCGCAGCTAGGAGTTCACTTTCTCTCAAATTTCCTTGGAGTACTTTGTCTGTCTCTCTCCTTTGTCCTTATTACATTCTACCTGGTAGCACATGTGTTGTACCCCACCTCAATTAGATGGTAAGCTTCTTAAGGACAGAGGCTATATCACTTTTCAATTTCATATTCCCCACCACCTGACAGAGTACATTACACATAATAAGTGCTTAATAAATGTATTTGAGTTGATTTCATTTGTTGGAAGCAATTTGTAAACTGAAAAACACTATATAAATTATAAGTTGTTATTGTTTTTATTATAATGTACTTTCAGAAATAGAATTGCAGTTGAATAGGATCCCAAAGTTACCTTGAAGGCACAATTCAATAGTGTTTGTGTATTCATGGGCAAAAAATAAAAAAAAAAATCCATAAGCACAAAGTTGTTTTTCTTTTTTAAAATGGGACATATTTTTCTCCAAGTATTCCAATTCTTTTGATCCAATTTGTCCTAAATATAAAGTAGTATAATGAGAGAATTGACTTGTTGCATTCCCACCCCTACCTGGTCATTTAAACTGCACGATTTATAACCTTGTGTGGACGTGGTCAGGCTGATATCTGAATAGAGACATGCTTGCTATTTTGCTTGTCTCCACAAAAAGACCTCCATGTACCCATCAGCTGCGCTGTAGGATTTGCTGAAGCATAAATATTACTTTTATACTTCCTTGTAGACCTGGGAAAAAGATACTCAAAACCCAGTTCCCAACACTTCTCACTCTCTCATTCATGCGTGTGGGGGAAAAAAAATCCATCATTGTTTATTTGAAGGGATGGCATGCAGCTGCAACAGATTGTTGTTGGTTCGTTCTTGAAGGGTATTCCTTTAGAGTGATAAAATAGATGTTAACTCTGAATCTGAAAATCCTCTAGGTTCTCCTTTGTGTCTCTGCGACCAGGACCCTCAGAGGTAGAAAATCCATTTATTTACTAGTTTGTAAATAGCCTCTTTATAATACAGTTGCTATGCTATTTAGTTCATAAATGTGCAACAAGATTTTATTAGGTACAATCAGTGCTTTGGTTGTTGGTTACTGGTTGGAAAATGGTCTCTCATTCCTTGTGTTGAAGCCCTCCCTTTGATGCATACTGTCTAGGTGACCCTGGAGAAGTTGCTTATCTTCTCAACGCTCAGGGCTCAGGGCAGCTCTCTAAGACTTTAAGTTTATTTAAAAAAAAAAAAAAAAAGATGCCAAACTGCTTTGTTAGAGGGACTTTCCTCATTTGGAATTCTTGTTTGGTTGTGTCTGACTCTTTGTGACCCCATTGGGGTTTTGTTGGCAAAGATACTAGATTGGTTTGCCATTTCCTTCCTTTTTTTTTTTTTTTTGGTTAGGCAATGGGGTTAAGTGACTCACCCATGGTCACACAGCTATAAATGTCAAGTGTCTGAGGCTGGATTTGAACTCAGGTCCTCCTGACTCCAGGGTTGGTGCTCTATCCACTGCGCCACCTAGCTGCTCTGCCATTTCCTTTTCCAGCTCTCTTTATAGATGAAGAAAATGAGGCACATAGGGTTGAGTGACTCGCCCAGGGACACACAACTGGTGTGACTGGTATCTAAAGTCAAATTTGAACTCGGGTCTTCCTGACCAGGCCCAGGCCCTATCCACTGTGCCACCTAGCTGCCCATCTAGGGGTTCCCTGTAACATAAATGAAATTGCTGGTCCAATTCCTATCCCTATCTCTAATTGCTGTTTATTGCTGTCACAGGTATGCAAAGTAGGGAATTATGAAACCAAAGTTTGAAAAAAACTAGCTGATAAGCTGGAAACAATGTTTGTCGTCACTTTGGGGTTTGTGAAGTTAGCCCTTCAGATTCAGACCCTGGTTTTTCTCCTCATTAGCATCATGGCTGCTACTAGGGGAACCATGGTAGCTGGCTTAGGCTGTGTGAGCCAATATGGCGGTCCTTACGGCACTTTGCCCCTTTCTTATGGACTGTCATAGTATATACATGCCTTTTCTCTTCTACAATATAGTGAGCCATTTGGGCAAATGACCCATTTCTTATTTGTCTTGTGAGGTAGGACGATAGTGTGGATGTATCAAAAGATCTGAGTTCAAATCTTGGCTCTGACAATAGCTGAATGACCTTAGACAAGTCACTTAACCTTTCTGATTATTAATTAACTTGACCTAAAACAGAGAAGCATGGGCACTCTTTACTTAACAAGATTGTTGTGAAGACCAAACAAGATAATATGTGTAAAGTATTCTGAAAATGGAAAACAATATATTAATGTAAACCATTACTCATATACCCCTCAGTGCCTAACATGTCACCTGGCACATCATAGGCATCTAATAAATATATCTTGAAATTAATTGAGAAAACATAGTTGAATCAATTCTTTTTTTCATAGAAACCCTTCATAGTCCTTAAATGAACAAGATCAGCAGGAAATTCTCTTCTCTGCTCCATTAAGTTATGTTCCTTTCCTTGTGGGACTCGAGGGTAGATTCAGCCTTTGTGCACCTCTCGAGGCTCAACCTGTGAATGTGATGGATGAAAAATAGTTCTCCCATCTTGTGTAAGTCGCTCTTGTTCACTCTGTGATTAGAACTCAGCTGTGTGTGAAGGTGCTTCAGAGAATTTATTCATCATTTTTGCTGAGCCTAGTTGTCATGACTGTTACTCTTCCAGTTACTTATTAAGAACAAGATA